AGATCATATGATGCCACAGCCTCTAAGACAATTGTTGGCTTCGCTGAACCTCGTGTGTACTGCCCTCTCCAAGCCGTTGGACAGTTCTTCCACTCCCAATGCATACAGTCGATGCTGCCTATCATCCCTGGAAACCCGCGTACCTCTCCAACATCGAGTAGCCGTTGGAGATCATCCGCTGTAGGTTTTCTTAGGTATTTATCTCCAAACAGTTGTATTATCGCAGTAGTGAAATGATCCAGACATAAATGTGCTGTATTTTCCGCTAGTCGGAGATATTCGTCGTACGAATCTCCAGATTGACCATATGCCAATATACGTAAGGCTGATGTACATTTTTGAAGTGTAGATAATCCGTACCTTCCGTGAGCATTTCTTCGTTGCTGAAAATATGGAACTTTATGACTTAGGCGATCGGTAATGCGAAGGAACAAAGGTTTGTTCATTCGAAAACGGCGCCTAAACATCTCTGGTGTATATGTTGGAGTTTCACTGAAATAGTCATTCCAGAGCTGAGAGTGTCCTTGTTCCCGATCTCTTTCGATATAAGCTCGCCTCGTTGGGTTGGTGGCTTGGGTATGAAGAATGGAGTCGATAAAATTATCAACTTGTTCGTCGATAAAATTATCAACTTGTTCATCTGCTTCATCACTTGATGAGAAAGACATAGTTGAACTCTTCTTCCTTCCTACAACAATCACATATTTTAAATTTTGAGTAAAATATAATAAACAATAATTTTTATAACTTTCGTAACTAAACAATATTATTATAACTTTCGTAACTAAACAATATTATTATTTTTTTCGTAACTAAACAATATTATTATTTTGTTTTGTAGCTAAACAATATTATTATTTTGTTTTGTAACTAAATCAATGAAATGTTTCACCTGCCAAAATCAAGAGAGGAAGTTGTTGGTGCTTGAAGAGAAGTTGTATATAACCAAGAAATGAAGTTGGTGCTTGGAATCAATGTAATCAAGAGAGGAAGTTGGTGCTTGGAATCAATGTAATCAAGAGAGGAAGTTGGTGCTTGGAATCACTCGTTGCAATTTTATAAAAGAAAGATTTGTAACTTGTGCTTGAGAAAGGAAGAGAGTTGATGTCGAATCTGAGAAAGAGAGACATATATATAAAGAGTAGAGTTCAAACAACACTCTCACGGGTACACACACCCGTGAGTTTAAGTTACAAACGTGAAAATAAAGTACATAGCAGAGACATCACTGGACAACTATCACTGGACAACTATCACGGGTACACACACCCGTGAATACGTACTACAAAGAAACAAAGACACTTGAAACTTCAAACTTGAAACAGGGACTTGAGACTTGGCACTTGAGATTGAAACTTGAGACTTGAGACTTGAAACAAAGACTTGAGCATCCCGTGAATCCACAGAGCCTTGAACATCCATTGACCTACGAATGAAACAAAACATATCAGTCATATTATTCAAGTAAATGCAAACAAGAAACAAAACATATTATTCAAGCAATGTTAACCTACCAAATCAAAGTAAATGAAAACAAGAAACTAAACATATTATTCAAGCAATGTTAACCTACCAAATCAAAGCATTTCAGCCATTAACTTGTTCTTGAGAGACACTTCTATATCAGACAGTGTCTCTTCTTTCTTGGCTAAGAGACGTTCCAAGATTTTTTGTTTGGAAATGTTTTTTTTTCTGCTAGAATGGACTCAATTTGATCAAAAGCAGCTTCTTTGCCGTGTTTCTTGCGTTTGGCCGATTTGCTAGCCTTCACACCAGGAGGCCTGACCTCTTCCTCCTCCACAACCACCTCTGCAGCTTCTTTCCTTTTCTCCTTTGGACCATCTCTGCTAAAGGCGTGGGACTTCCATTTCTGCTCAATCCTGAGCTCCCTCCTACAATGTTCTAAAGAAAACCTTAACTTATTGTCGCTAAGGTAAATCTCATGTGCACGGTTCAGGACATTGTTGTCATTCGTGCCACTCCCTTGGTCCTTCAGAGCGGCTTCATGACACCCCACAAACTTGCAGACCTCGGCATTAATCCTTCCCCACCTCTGCTTACAGGTACTCGACTCTCTTGGAACAAGCTCACTTAGCTGAGGAGAGGAGTTGAAGTACTCCTCTATCCTCTTCCAAAACGAGCCTGCTTTCTGCTCATTACCCACTATGGGGTCCTTGCTGGTATTCAATCAAGCAGAGATGAGGACTAGGTCTTCTTTAGGTAACCACTTTCTCCTATTCAAAGGTTTTTCTAACCCGGGAGAGTGAAAAACAGCTTCAGCAGAGTCTACATCTACTGACGAGCTGCTCTGCGAAGCCAGTAGGTTCACAAACCCGGGAGTGTTAAAGGAGAAAGCTTCCATTTTGGATTTGGTTTAGGTTTTAGGTTTTCGTTTGTGTTTTAAGGTTAATGAATTTTTACTAGATGATTTGTGGTCTTTTTATACTAGTTTAAAATATCTACGATTTAACTTTTACCTCAACCTACCAAACATTAATACACAACCACTTAGTACAAAGAGCAGTCATTACCAATCAAATCAGTTTGCTTAACTTTTGTTGTTTTAGTTTGGTTTAACCCTACGATTGAACATTCAATTCTTTAGCTCGTTTAGTTTGGTTTAACCCTACAGTCATTACACAACCACCAACCATAAAAAGCAGACTTCAACATTTAACTCTATCTAACAAAGATTCATACAATTAGTTTTAAAAAACCTGTGTTCGCTTTACTTCAGTTTAGTTTTCAAAAATTACTTGAACAATTATTTCTACCTAACAAAAATACACACATTAAACCGATGCAGTTTCAAAAATATTCAAAGAAATCTCAAACAAATTTCAAACAAATTCTACACTTAAAATTTTAGTTGAGGAGGATTACCTTTATTTTTCATTCGAAGCTGGCCTTCTCCAGAGCAGCTACCTGCACCGTCAGACATTGCACCTGTCCAGTTAAGGTCTTCACCTGTTCCTGGACATGAAAACATAAAAACAAACAGTGTTAGTAAACATAACAATAACTTTTAAAAATCTAAAACACAACAGAAAGTACACACACCTCCAGCTTACTCACTCCTTTCATCAGCTTCTCAGTCTCCTCCTGGACACCAATGGCCCAAGGATGACGATAATGCAATCCGTCATCCTTGGTTACAACATACAAATACATCAGAATACATCACAATAGAAAATACAAAAAAAATTAAGACTTAAAATTATACCTTGTACTTCACACATGTGAAGAAACTCTTTCCAGGCAATGTATCATACGCCTCCTTCCCCCGAACCTCGTTGATAATTCTCCCTCCACATGGACAGGTTTTAGGAATCCCGAATTGCGAGTCAGCAACGAAGAATAACATGTTGTAATCTTCTTTTTGCTTCTTAGAATGGCGTCTCTCTTCCGCGGGATCCATACCTACATACATGCAAACATGATTACCGATCAACTATAAACAAACCGTAAATCTAACAATGAAAACGATATACAACCCTCCAATGAAATCCCCAAATCAAACCATATATCAAATGAAATACACGATATACAACCCTTTGATGAAACCCCTAAATGAAACCCTAAATCAAACCCGAAATCGAACCCTAAATCAAACCCTAAAACAAACAAATTAGGCGATTTCCAACCCCAATGAAACCCTAATCTACTGAACAAGACGATATATAACCCTCTGATGAAACCCCAAATGAAACCCTAAATCAAACCCGAAATCAAACCCTAAATCAAACAATCTAGGCGATTTACAACCACAATGAAACCGTAATCTACTAAACAAGACGATATAATAACACACAAATGAAAACCCCTTTTCGATTGTAAACCCTAAAAATTTCACATCCCTAAATCGCCATCGAGCCTCAAAATCAACTCTACTTGACCATGACTCTACTCGATACTAACCTGCTCGTCGAGAAAAATCTCTGTCGTGTGATTTAGATCAAGAGAACGGAATCGATTCGAAATCGCCCACGGAATCGCCGCAGAGAAAAAAAGAAGAGACTTTCGGGGAAGAAAGAGAGAAATGACACGAGAGAGAGGAAAGCCCTAATTTTGGCCGACTCCGATAGCCACTCACCAGACGACGCGTGGCTTGAACCCCATTCTCGCGGGTATCATCACGAAGGCCCGGTTCACGGGTAATTACCCAATTTTTTTTTTTTTAAATGGTTCGGACCTAAGAACTCGAACCCATGAACCCCCTTTGAACCCCAAATGCAGATGCTCTTAAATTGTATATTCATGTATATATGTATATTGCTTGTCTTTTCTTTCTTTCTTTTATGTGTTGCTTGTCTTCTTATACACCAATAAATTGATGGTTCGGTTCGGTTATTTGGTTAAGATACGATTTTTAGTTTGTTTTTTTTATAGATTTTTAGTTTTTCTTAGAATTTAACTAAGAAATTATTAGACACAAAGTGTCCCACATCGGAAGTTGGAAGAGATCCTTAGTGATATATAAGATAGATGGGCCAATCCACTTATCACTAATTGGTTTTAGGTTGGAAGCCCATCTACCTTAATAGAAATAACCGCTCCGAAAAAGTGTAAAAATAAATGTCTGGATTCCAACTAAGAAACCAGTGCCTAACTTTTTCGATTTTATTTTTCTGAATTCAGTCGGAAAATAAATCAATTCGTTTTGTAAGAGAATAAATGTATACATATGATACGGTGAATAACTTGGTTCTGTGAACGGATGTACATATATAGCAGCAGTCTACGCATCAACGGCGATGATAGAGTCAGTGAAAAAAGCACAACAGGAGGCCTCTGCAGCTCTTCTCTCGCGTGCACTCCAAATGTGCCGAGCCAAACAGGTTATGTGTCAATCACTTGGAACTTATAAGCCTACTAAAAAAAACTTATAAGCCTACGAGGTATAACCATAAATTGGTATAACGTAGCTAGTGACTCAAACGGGCTTTCATGGAAACTTTTTGGTAATTCGGGTCCTATTAATCAGTCCTACACGGAGATAATATGGTTTTATTTGAATAGCATATAAATGTAAACATGATTATTCACAACTATCAAACACCTTTCTGATGCATATTGGAACATCATCAGCTAGTGGAATATAAATGTTTGAACATCATCTTGATGAGTATATTTCTTTAACGAAATAGTTTCACTATTTGGCAACAAATCCCATTATATACTGCAAATTTTGTATGTGATACATTCAGATACGTGCTGAAACTCTGGTGCTTGAAGGCGATGCAAAGGACATGATTTGCCAGGCGGTGGAGCAAATGCACGTTGATCTTCTCGTTGTCGGTAGTCGTGGCCTTGGCAAGATCAAAAGGTACGGTTAGATTTTTTTCCACATTATTTACCTTCTCAAAATCTCAAAATCTATAACCGCTGTTTCAATTTGTCTGCCTTCGTGCGTTTTGGAAGAGCGTTTCTTGGGAGCGTTAGCGATTACTGTGCTCAGCACGCAAGTTGTCCCATCCTTATTGTGAGACCACCAAAGGAGATAACTAAGTAACAAGCTCTACTACATGTTTGGGTATACTTTTATGAAGGGCTTGCCGTACGTGCGTGCGCTCAAATAAATGTAATAGTATTCACTCTTTTGCACCAAAACTGATAAAAAGCTTAACCAAAATTGCTTCAACAATAAAAAATTATCTATTTGAAGTAGTTCAGACGAAAAAAATTTCATAGATCAAAGAACAAAACATCTGTAACATATTCCAATCTAGTGCAAACAAAACATAACTTTCATTGATAAGTTTGTAACCCTTAGGACAAAAAGAAACTCCTTAACGATTGGCCTTGGCAACTCTCTCAATCTCATCCTTCTTTTTGATGGCATAGCTGCAAAAGTTTGAAATGATGATTAGCTTTGACTAATATAACACACATAAGACGCCACGTTTAAGAGATGTGTAGAAAGTTATTTATTACCTGTTGGATGAGCCCTTGGCAGCGTTGATCAACTCATCAGCAAGACACTCAGCAATAGTCTTAATGTTTCTGAAAGCAGCCTCACGAGCACCAGTGGTGAGCAAGAATATCGCCTGGTTAACACGTCTTAGAGGAGAGATATCAACGGCTTGTCTCCTAACAACACCAGCAGATCCGATTCTAGTAGCATCTTCACGTGGACCACTGACTCAAACAACAAAACAAAACAAAACAATAATATTACAACGACATTACAGCATAAACATGTAACGCTTTACATCACAAAAGCCTTTTGTACCTGTTAACAATAGCATCAATGATGATCTGAATAGGGTTGGCATCAGTCAAGAGGTGGATGATCTCCATAGCGTGCTTGATGATCCTCACCGCCATCAACTTCTTACCATTGTTTCTTCCGTGCATCATGAGAGAGTTTGTAAGCCTCTCAACAATGGGGCATTGAGCCTTCCTGAATCTCTTAACAGAGTATCTTCCAGCTGTGTGGGGAACAAAGGTAGCGTGTTTAGCTGCTTGGACTCCAATGTAGTCAACAAGACTGATATCTGCAACCTACCAACATATTCAAGATAAGTCACTTACAACACTTCAAACCTCATTAAACAAAAATTAATATAACGAATAAAAATTTCAAAACCAAAAGTTCCAGCAGAGGTTAATGCAACACTTCAACTACCAAAACGGGAGCATAGGTTATACAATTTGATTTTAACTTATATGCTGAAGCTAATGTGATTGCAACATCCATCAAATCAAAAGAGAGAATTGCGTAATATTAGTAACGGCTAAGTGTTAGCCATCAAAATGAAGTATTACCACCAAAACAGGACCATAGGTTATACAATTTGATCATAACTTATATTCTGAAACAAATGTGATTATGTAACATCCATTAAATCAAAATAGAGAGTTGCATATAAGTAAAGGCTAGGTTCCAAGCTAAGTGTTAGCCCTAAAAATGAAGTATTACCACCAAAACAGGAGCATAGGTTATACAATTTCATCTCAACTTATACGCTGAAACTAATGCGATTGTGATGTCCATCAAATCCATAGGGAATTAGCATCTAAATAAAGGCTAGGTTCCAGCTTCGTCGGATACATCAAAATGAAGCAAGCGAGGACTACTAAATCATACAGAGTCGAGGAAAATGAAATCGGTGAGGAAGTTACCGAGACGTCATCGTAGGTCCAGCGGTTGAAGAGCTTGACCTCGTTGGTAAGCTGCTGCTGAATCTCTGCGTCGATTTCTACGGCGGCGGCCATGGCTGCGATAGAAACAGAGTATGAGCAAAAATCCAAACGTTTAATAAGAGAGAGTGCGCAGAGATGATTTGGAGGAAGAGGATCACCTGAGATCGTTACGCGTCGAGGAGGTGAGAGTGACGGCGGCGAGAGTGAACAACAAGCTTCAACAGGACGGGGGAAAACCCTAAGAGATGTTTATATACTTGATGTTGAGTAGGGTTTTGGGCTCTAAATGGGCTTTCATTTTTGGTTATCGAGTACAGAACCGGTTTAATGTGTTTTACGGTTCGTTTGTGGTTAGCTGGTTAACTTGCGGTTCTACATTGATAAGTTTAGTATTTTATGGTATTTTTTTTTCAGTAGGAATAACCTTTTAGATAATCACTGATTATGGATGTCAAAAAAAAAAAAAGATAATCACTGATATGTTTTGAAATCATGAACTTTGGTAGAATGGATTTAGGTTTCCCAATATTTGATTTTTGATTTATTTTATACTTGATAATCGGTTTGAAATGGTACAATCATTATAATTGCAAGTTATCAAAATTCAAAAGAACATATATCATGTATGTATGTACATGAACAAACTGATTTTGACTCCGACCAACAAATAAGAAGAAAGGTTTCACCATGAAAGCTAGAAGAATGGGAATAACAGATACTCAGCATAGAAAAGATTCCATATAAACCGGTAATATCCTGCAATAGCTTCCTGCAACAATGAAAAAGAAGTTTCTATACTCCATTAGATACACACCCCATTGATCTTTTTTTTTTGAATGAAAACTCCATTGATCATTCACATCACCATCCTCTTCTAAAAATCATTACGTAACAAGGATTTGATGTTTTTACCTTGGTGTAGTTTGCTTTTTCTAGTACCCATGTCTGCAAAAAACAGCAACATCAGTGATGCTATAAACTGATGAGATTGATGAATATGAAGTTGACATGCATTACCTGGAAAATCAAGCATGAAGCCAAGATCATATGTGCAGGAATCATCAAGCTACCTCTGAAAACCTGTTAAATGTTAAACGGATAAACGAATGATGTTTCAAAGCTGCATTACTGAGCAAGTGAGTTGATGTGTTGACGCAAAACTGAGGGAGATGTGTGTCACCTGAGGCATGTAGAAAGCTAGTGATATTGCAGAAATATAGTTCACAAGCAGAAGTCCAGAACCTAGGAATGCAATGTTTCTCACTCCAAGCTTTGTTGCTAGGGTTGATATTTGGAACCTATTCAAAATGAAATCCAAGGAACATGCTTTCATTAACTAAACATGCTTGAACAAAGAAAGGCGTAAAAGAAAATGCTATACGAGTATTTACTTACTTGCGATCTCCTTCAACATCAGGAAGATCTTTTGTAATAGCAATGACCAGTGCAAACAGTGTCACAAAAGACGTTATGAAAGCCACAGGTGCACTGCATATGCCCAATAGAGACTTGAGTAACATATATATACATGCTCCATTATATTGTGATTAAATCAAAGAAAAGATTGATTACTGTTCAATTAAAAAAAAGATTGATTACTATTCATCAAGTAGTTCATATGACTACTACTAACCTCCACTGAAACGAAAGTCCAAGGGCAGCTCTTGTAGCATGGTACACACCAAAATTAAGAAGGAAACCTCGTACCTGATAAGGAACACAGGACATGTTACTAAATGCAATTTCAAAGTTCCCAAGCCACTAGATAATAAGAAGCATAAAAACAGTCCTTACCGTGGCAATAATAAGAAAAGCTGCAACTGGAAATCGTTTCATTCTTAATGGTGGAACAGAATAGATAGTCCCCAGAAAAAGACCAAGAGAGTATAGGCATGTAATGAATGGACCAAAGTTGAATCCAACAACTAATAGCCCTGCAATTGCAAAGAATATCACCAACAGCCACGCAGACTGCACTGAGAGATCTCCTGCTGCTATTGGCAAATATGGTTTGTTCACTCTGCAAGACGAAAGAAAATCCAAAATTCAAACAAAAATGAGTTAGATGATACACTTATTTGGATGTAATGATCATAGCGTTTTAACTCATAAGCAGTAACACATTGCACACATGATGCTTCATAGTGATGCTGCATTAAATAACCAATGTACATCTGCATCTAATGGGGTGCCACATACTTGTCAATTCCAATGTCGTAGATCTGATTGATGCCAACTATATAACCATTTCCACATATAAGAGCAAGAAGACCTGAAAGCGCCTTGAGTACAAGACCCCATTTGATGAGATGAGTGTTCTCTATCAAAGCTCTTGCCACCAAGGCACTGCCATCAAAAAAAAAAATCAACACTCTATCAAAAATGAAATATAGATCCATTTCAATAAAATCACTATGCAAACATATACTAACGTTGATCCCAAAGCTGTTCCACGGATCGTATGTGGCCTAAGAAATCTCCAGCAAGCATTTTGAAAATGCGAGATTCTATCCAGAACTGGATCAGAACCAGCAGCACCAACCTGTGAACATGCCTGCTAGTATCTAACTTTTGTCAGTGCCATTGAAAACACACACACAAATAACATTAATGAAAACTATATAATAGTATAGAAATGAACACTTCTTGAAAATATCAAATGCTGAGAGATTATAAAGGTTTGAACTTTCTTGACTAATAGTCAACGCAGCGGCTAAGATGCTTGTTAACCGAATAAAAACAGAGAACTAAACCATACCCGGATCGAGATTTTTCTGTAATTAGTTGAAATACATTTCGACCGCATACTAGAACTTGATAAGCTCGTGAAGGAAGCATCTTTAGGACAGGTTAAAAGCTTCCTAGATAAATGCACGGAAGGTTGATGATGATGAGAAGATGCTAAGAAACGATGGGAGATAGATGAGAATTGAAGACGTGGTGATTGGGAGATCGAGAGCTCCATTGATGACGCTGGCCACACAAAACTCTTTTACTCTGCTACTTGCTCTTGCACGACCAAAATTGTTCTTTTTTTTGGATTTGGTTTGGTTCTTTGTACCAACCAAAAGAGATTATATTTTGCAATCCGGTCCCTGTACTCTTTAAATTTATTCGTACAAGCCTAAAAGTCCTTAAATTATCATAAATCAAAGATTAATTGATCCATCTATAGGTGCTGTGTGTGTCTTCACTATCTTCAATCTTTCCAGTTCGGTTTATTGTGTAGATGTTTCGATTTTATACACATCTAGCTTACAAAAATGTAGACACTGAATAAAAGTTGAAACCATAATCAAATGATGAAGTATGTAAAAAGAATCAATTAAGTAAATACAAAACTGGATTATTTTTGATGATTCAAATAGTATTGAACAAGATTAATAATATTTTCAGACAAACAAAACATAAAGGAAAAAAAAAACACACAGCATGTTAAGTTTGGTCTCTCAGCAAAAGATGTCAAGACAAATTTGGTTCGGTTTCAGCTTGTGATTTAGAGAAACCTTCTGAGCTCTTTGACAATGCTTCAGCTTCATCAGAAGCAGAAGCATGAGGCCTTGAGTTGATTGTCTCTGCTCCTTCATTCTCCTTCTTGTCCATGACTATTGTTGTGGGTGCTTCGCTTTTGGTTTCATCTGATTTCTCTGTCTCTCTATTCTCTTCATCGATCACCTCATTGACTTCAGTCTCTAAACCTCTGGTTTCATTTGTTATTGTCTGCTTTGTCTCTGCATTCTCATACTCCTCTCTATCATCAGCTTCAGCAGAAGCACGAGCACTTGAGTTGATTGTCTCTGTTCCCTCTTCATTCTCCTCTTTGTCCATGACTACTCTTGACGGTGCTTCATTTTTGGTTTCATCAGATTTCTTTGTCTCTTTATACTCTTCATCAAGCACGTCATTGACTTCAGTCTCTAAACCTCTGGTTTCATCTGCTCTTAACTGTTTTGTCTCTGCACTCTCTTCCTCCTTTCTATCTGCAGCAGAAGCACGAGCACTTAAGTTGATTGTCTCTGCTCCCTCTTCATCCTCCTCCTTGTCCATGACTATCCTTGAGGGTGCTTCGTTTTTAGTTTCAGCTGATTCCTTCGTCTCTCTATTCTCTTCATCATTCACGTCATTGACTTCAGTCTCTAAACCTCTGGTTTCATTTGTTATTGACTGTTTTGTCTCTTCTTCTTTATCTTCATCCATGACCACAACTTCCGGAGCTTTGGTTTCTGTTCTCTCTGACAAATCAGCTGCAGAGCTGTTGTCTCCTTCTTTGATGAACTCGCCTATTTCCAAAAGCTTTCGAGCTTTTACTTCCCCTTCTTCGTTAACATTCTCTGCTATCTCAGCTTCAGAAACTTTTAGTTCCCCATCTGCTTCTCTTGAAACCACTTCTTCTTTTCCTTTGATCTCAGCTTCTTCTAAAGCTTTCTTCTCTGTACTTTCAGGTTTATCAGACTCTAAAACAGTACTAATACTCTTTGGTTTGATTTCCAAAGGCCCCAGCTTTGCATCAATCTCCTTAACAAGATTCGTCAAAGCTCTTGCATTCCTCGCTTCAGATAACCTAGTAGACAACTGCAACACACAACAAAAAGTTTTAAGCAACAAAACAAAAAGAAATCATGTTATTAAGCTAAAATGTATCTACCAAACTCATACTTCACCTGCTGTATCTCTTCAGCTCTTGGTCTAAGATCATCCTCAGAAGCTTCCTTATAAATACTCTTCAAAACACACACCAAATGCTCCCTCAAACTATCCAAACCATGCCGCTGAATCTCACACTGACGCACATCAACCAAACACCCAACCGCACGAAACGCACAGTTCACAAGCTTCATAGGACACACAGTAATACAATGCCTATCCATCTCCCGCCTCATGATACTCTCTCCACAGCTCTGCTCACACGTCACCATCTTAAACGGACAAACGGAATCATGACTCTCCCTCTGCTTCGCGCAGAACACAGCATTACAACCTTCGTTCCCACAGTTCATCTCTCTATAACCACAATCTAAACCGTGCTCCACAAGCTCCCTCTCCGTCCCAAACCTCATCTCACAATGCGAACTGTTTCTAAAATCCACGTTCTTAAGCAGCGTCTGCGCTAGTCCCTGTATATGATCGTTTAACCAGAAGCCGCTAATCTCCATCTCCTGAGCGAAATCATCAATGTTGTCTTCTCTTCGTTCACTGAGAAGCCAGCCAGAGACGCGGCCGAAGAGGTTTCTTTTGGAAGTGGCGAAGTCGTCGATGAAGTCGGAGATTATGTCGAAAGGATCGTGGGAAGGTTCGGTTTCTGCGCTTCCTTGGAGGAGGAGGGTGTGTTCAGCTACGAAGGTTTCGCTTCTCTGAGTTAAGTATTCGATCATTTCTTTGCGGATGTCTGCGGCTACGGAGCCGGGGCTTCGGAAGATGTCTCCGGTTGTGTTGTCGACGCAGGCGGTGGCGAGGCCGGGGAGGAAGGTTTGGGAGATTTTGTGGACTAGCTCTGTGTCGTAGAGGTCGCAGTGGAAGGCAAGGGTGTTTTGGTTTTGGTTGTTTATTTTGTCGGGATCTGAGACAGGTGGATCCATTGATGTGTCTGGAAATGTTGTCTGCGGAAGAACAAGCATCGATTAGATCAGAATCAAAAGCTCTGTGCTTTCTTGAATTTTCCGAGAAAAAAAAGATCGATTGAGACGAGACAAGTCTTAATGTGATCTAAAGAAACCATTAGGATCCAGAAAGTTTTGAAATTGAGTCGTGTTAGAAGCGAATTCAACTGTTGGATTGATAAAAAGGACGAGACTTTACCGTAGAGTTCGTGTTGTAAATAGACGGTGATGAGATCGCGACGGGGAGGAGTTGAGAGTCTGTAAGGGAATCGGATGAAGAAGACGAGGGAGGAGAGGGGAGACACACCTTTGGTTTTGGCGCAATAATCGGTCTCTCTACTTTCACCACAACTTTTGGTCGTCTCTTCTAATGTTTTTTTTTCTAACTGGTTTTTGTTGCTTACAATATTTAATATAAATATCGTTTCACAGAAATAATAATATAAAAAATATAGTTTAATTTCGTTTTAATATTTTTTTTAAAAAATCCAAATAATAACACTAAATTGTAAGTATAATTTAAACTAAAAATAAATAATAATATAGTGTGGTTAAATAAGATATATTAAATTTATAATTAAATAACATGTTTTCTTAATAAATTTGAAAACCTCTTTCAGAAAATAAGTTTTTTTAAAATAAAATGATGCTTTATTAAGTATACAAATAAAAATGAATCATTTTAAAAATATTATTAGCTTGGCCACAAATATGATTAATTTGATCTGACAAATTTCAGTGATCAAAATTAGATAGTTAATATAAAATTAATGCATATATGAAATATTGTGACTTAAAAAAATTGATTTTAAACAAATCATATTTTGCTCACATGATAATATTTTGGACAATTTTCCCAAATAGTTCTTTTTAAATTTTTGTTATAAAAATAATTAGCAAAAAAGAAAATGATTAAAATAATTTATTTTTCTTTTAAAATTTGTAATATATATATATATATTATTTTAAAAATTTGAAATTTTAAATCCAAAACTCTATTCTTTAACTATAAACCTTAAATCTAGATCATTTTGTCTAATATATATGTACATATTTATGTTTTAATAAAAATTTATTTTAGTTATTTAATTGATTGATGACTAATTTGTGAAAATAAACTAAAAAAGGTCTCTCAGAATTTTCCTAATATTTTGCAGATTAATCTTTTTGGGGTGCAAAAAATAAAAGAAACTAAAATAAATGAGGGTACTATGCAATGACAATTAAATATGTACAGTTTACTGATAAAGATCTCCCCTTCAATTTATTTCCGGAGACACAAAAGTTAAACAAAGCACGTCCCTTTGCCCCGTTTCCTTGTGTGTTTGATTTGATGATGGCAGCTCCGGAGGATGAATCTTCCGCTCAGTCTCAATCATCTTCCGCCACTGCGGCTCCCACTCCTCCTCCTCCTCCTTCCTCCGCCGGAGATCACTACCTCGCTAAGTGCGTCCTCCACCCTAGCGTCGTTCTCCAGGTCGCATACGGATACTTCCGCTCCCCTTCCTCCCGCGACGTCGTTTTCGGAAAGGTCCCGCCTTTTGCTCCTTCTTCCTCTTATCTCTACTTTTAGGATTTGGGTTTCGATTTATTTATGTGAAAGTTGGTTCCTTTTTATATCTCTCTTTTTAGGGATTTAGATTTTGTGAAGTTGATGTGCCATAATCTCCACTTGTTTTAGTTTCGTCCTGGTTTTTTTCTGTTGAGGGCATTGTTGAAAGAGTTGAATTTGTATGTGTTCTTGTGGTTACAAATTGGAAGTTGCAGAGGGATACTATAAGGATAAGTTTAAAAGAGTTAGGTATTATGGATCCATATTTTATGTGTTTGTGGGAAGAATTTTTGTCTAGATTAATTTGTGTGTGTGTGTCAGGTGTAATGCTATATTAAAATCTTGATGTGTAATCAGTAACTAGAATGATGTTTTTTTAATTCTCACATCAGGAGACCTGCTTAGAGCTGGTGGTTATCGGTGAAGACGGGATTGTTGAATCGGTGTGTGAACAGAATGTATTTGGAACTATTAAGGATTTGGCTGTTATACCGCAGAGTAAAGTAAGCATTTTACACTAAACACAGAATCGCTCGCTTTGGTTTTGTGAGTAACAGGAATGCAGATGTCTGTGATTTGATTTGTCAATCATTTGGTTGTCTTTTTCAGATGGGAAAAGACCTTTTGGCTGTTCTTTCTGATTCTGGAAAGCTCTCCTTTCTCTCATTTAGCAATGAAATGCACAGGTTTATTTTCTTCCTCGTGTCTTCTTGTTTTTCCCCGAAGGAGACCGCATGTTATTGTCATCTTACTCATTTTACTGCCATTTTGTGTAGGTTCTCGCCCATACAACATGTTCAACTTTCTGGTCCAGGAAACTCGAGGACTCAACTTGGAAGAATGCTCACTGTAGATTCTAGGCAAGTTTTTCGTGCCAGTTTCTATTTAACCATGATTTGATTCTGTTGATGCCTTTAGATGCCACTCGTTACTAGCTGTATCTCTGTTGTATATTTTGCCCGGTGCTGAAATGCTTGGAGTGTTCACGTTTCCAAGCCACACCTTAATGTTAAACATACATGTTTCTTATACCTTGAATAGCAACGAGTAAATTTGAGTCCTATTATGCCTTTTGCAGTGGTCTGTTTCTTGCTGTCAGTGCATATCATGATCGCTTTGCTCTATTTTCTCTCTCATCCTCGCCTATGGCTGATATTATTCATGAGGTATTGATTTCTATCGCCAACTTGGGGAGCATCTTGTAACTTTATTTGACAGGAAAGCTGCCTTTTAACCATGGGATGACTCATGAGTGATATTATTTTTTTTTTTGAACTTTTAGAGGATTTTTTATCCTTCTGAAGATGGAGAGAAGACTAGCTCTGTACAAGAATTATGTGGTACGATTTGGAGCATGTGTTTCATTTCTAAAGGTTTTACTGAATCCAAGGGTTATGATCCTGTTCTTGCCGTTGTTTTAAATAGGTATGGAATCTTTGCTATTCAAAATGCTTTGTTTTTAATTATTGTGCTTTCCCCATAAGAGTTGCTTACCTCAGTAATTTTCTGCTTGTATAGGAAAGGATCTCTCCTGAATGAGTTGGTTTTATTTAGATGGAACACCAAAGAGGAATCCATATCTTTAATATCAGAGTATGTTGAAGCTGGGGCTCTAGCACATAGTATTGTTGAAGTTCCTCACTCCTCTGGATTTGCCTTTCTGTTAAGAATTGGTGATGCTCTCTTAATGGATCTTAGAGATCCTCAAAACCCTTGCTGTTTGGTTAGGACATCCTTAGATCTTGTTCCTGGTTCATTAGTGGAAGAACATTGTGTTGAAGAGTCGTGTAGAGTACAAGATGGAGACGATGATGGTCTTTCTAACGTTGCTGCATCTGCTTTGTTAGAGCTCAGCGATTGGGAACCCATGTTCATAGATACTGAAAGCGACGTTGGAAAGTTGAGTTCTAAGCATGTCTCTTCATGGACTTGGGAACCGGATCATAATTATAATCCCCGGATGATTATTTGCTTAGATGATGGTGAATTTTTCGTGTTTGAACTCATATATGAAGATGATGTTGTCAAGATTAATATATCAGAGTGTTTATACAAAGGTTTACCATGCAACGAAATTTTATGGGTGGAAGGTGGATTCCTGGCTACGTTCCCCGAAATGGCGGATGGAACGGTTTTCAAATTGGCTGAGAAGCTACATTGGATGAGTTCCATTCAAAATATTGCTCCGATCTTGGATTTCTCAGTTGTGGATGACCAGAATGAGAAACGAGACCAAATGTTTGCTTGTTGTGGTGCAACGCCTGAAGGATCTTTAAGAATTATTCGTAGTGGCGTTAATGTAGAGAAACTTCTGAAAACCGCGCCTGATTATCAAGGAATAACTGATACTTGGACGGTTAAAATGAAGCTTTCGGATGTGTACCATTCATTTCTTGTTCTGTCTTTTGTTGAGGAGACCAGGATTTTATCAGTTGGATTAAGTTTTAAAGATGTCACTGATTCGGTTGGTTTCCAGCCTGATGTCTGCACCTTGGCATGTGGGCTTGTTGCCGATGGTTTGTTGGTACAGATTCACCAAGATGCAGTAAGGCTGTGCATGCCGAACATGGATGCTCATTCTGATTATAGTCCGGTTTCTTCACCATTTGTCTCTTCTTGGTTTCCAGAAAATGTCAGTATCAGCTTGGGGGCAGTTACTGAAAATCTGATAGTTGTTTCTACGTCTAACCCTTGTTTCCTGTCTGTTCTTGGGGTCAAATCAGTATCATCTCACTCCTGCGAAATCTTTGAAATTCAACGAGTGCCATTGCAGTATGAAGTTTCCTGCATCTCAATTCCTCAAAAATCTATTCGGAAGAAGAGATCCCGCGCTTCTGCCCTGGATAATAGTTGCAAAGCTGCGATTCCTTCTGGTATGGAGCGAGGCTATACGTTTTTGATTGGCACACATAAGCCTTCTGTTGAGGTCCTCTCTTTCTCAGAAGATGGTGGTGGTCTTAGAGTCCTTGCTACTGGGATGGTTACGCTAACAAATACAATGGGAACTGCTATTCGTGGATGTATTCCTCAGGATGTTAGACTCGTGGTAGTTGATCAAATTTATGTCCTTTCTGGGTTAAGAAATGGGATGCTGCTTCGTTTTGAGTGGCCATTCGGGTTGAATTGTCACTGTAACGAAGAGATGGACATTGTTGTGGGTGAAAGAGACATTTTACCCATCAACCTTGTGTTAATTGCCACCCGACGTATCGGCATCACACCTGTTTTTCTGGTTCCGTTCAGTGATTCACTAGATTCAGATATCATAGCTCTGAGTGACAGGCCATGGTTGTTACACACAGCTCGTCAAAGCCTTTCCTACACTTCCATCTCGTTCCAACCTTCTACTCATGCAACTCCTGTATGCTCGTCTGAATGCCCTCAAGGCATTCTTTTTGTTGCAGAGAACTGTTTACATCTGGTAAATATATATTCTGTTTTACAAATTTTGGTTCCAGACTTTCACTGACTATCGTGATGTGCTTTTAGACAACGATATGCTGATTCTATCAGTCAATGTTTAATTTTCTGATGTAGTTTGCTTGGAATATTGTTAGCAACAAACAGAGAATTGTTATTACTTTTCAATAGTGTAGTAGTCTTATTTAAGATAGAAAATTGTAGGATTCCATTGGAGCTATTAGTTTATTTGCTTGTTTTGTAGGTGGAGATGGTGCACAGCAAACGTCTTAATGCGCAAAAGTTTCAGCTTGGAGGCACTCCGCGAAAGGTCATCTACCATAGTGAAAGCAAACTATTGATTGTGATGAGAATTGATTTGTGTGATGCGGGTACGTCTGATATATGCTGTGTGGACCCGCTCAGTGGATCAGTGCTGTCATCCTACAAGCTCAAACCTGGAGAAACTGGAAAGTCGATGGAGCTTGTACGTGTGGGGAATGAGCAAGTCCTTGTGGTTGGGACGAGTTTGTCATCTGGTCCTGCTATACTACCCAGTGGTGAAGCTGAAAGGTTTGAAATCTGGTTCTTAAGCTACTTTTATTTTGACCATTAAGTGATGAAAGTGTTGACTGAAAGATTGATTGTGTGTGTGTACCTTTGAATGCCTGTTTTACAGTACAAAAGGGCGAATACTCATTCTCTGCTTAGAACACACTCAAAACTCGGATAGTGGTTCAATGACAATCTGTTCAAAAGACGGTTCACCTTCCCAACGTACATCACCTTTTCGTGATGTTGTGGGATACACAACAGAACAACAACTATCAGGCAGTAGTCTCTGCAGCAGCCCAGATGATAACAGCGATGATGGAATCAAACTTGATGAAGCTGAAACATGGCATTTAAGATTGGCATCTGCAACCACTTGGCCAGGTATGGTACTTGCGATCTGTCCGTACCTTGATCATTTCTTCCTGGCGTCTGCTGGCAATGCTGTAAGTCTCACTTTGATAATCTATAGTTTTGTTGCCACTTGTTTAGCTGCTTACATATGTACTGCTCTTGGATAGTTCTATGTATGTGGTTTCCCGAACGATAGTCCTGCGAAAATGAAGAGGCTTGCAGTGGGAAGGACTCGTTTCATGATAACATCTCTGCGCACATACTTGACTAGAATTGTTGTTGGGGATTGCCGTGATGGTGTTCTATTTTATTCTTATCATGAGGTTTGTACTGTTGTCCCTTTCTACTAACAAAAGTTACCATATGTTGTCTATGTCTTTTGTTTGCCTGTTAATATTTGATTTTTTTTTTTTTATGTTATTGAAGGACGTGAAGAAACTTCACCAAGTATTTTGTGATCCAACGCAGCGGTTAGTTGCTGACTGTTTTCTAATGGATGCCAATTCTGTTGCTGTATCTGATCGCAAGGGGGGTATAGCTATCCTGTCTTGCAAAGATCATTCAGAATTTGGTATGGAACACTTACCTTCTCTCGTTAGCTCAGATATTACTCTCTTTTCGCTCTTCCTTTTATAGAGTTTAGATTATCGAACCATTCGACAGAGGGACATGGAATCTATATCCAAATAGTAACTGTCAGTTGGTAGATGATAAAAGCAAATATTTTTTAATAATGTGAATGATACAGCATTCCCAAATATTACATGCTGTCTCAGCTAAAACGTACCATAGTTGGATGAGTATGCAATCATCTTTAAGATCTTCCTTGTTCTTAGGATTTTTCTAGATGCTATGGAACAAAGTTGGGATCTTAAAAATACTCTTAATAAAGGCTTTCTTATGATTCAGAAGATTTTGCTAACTGAAAATACCTCTTGATGATTCAGAGTATGCAAGTCCAGAAACCAACCTGAATCTAAACTGTGCTTATCACATGGGTGAGGTTGCCATGGCTATCAAAAAGGTAAATCCTAAACTTGCAGTGAATATTTGACTGTCCCACTACTATTACTTGAATAGTTAGTACTGCTATCTGAATTGCTTTCTGTTCAGGTAGTGGTGTGCTATTATTGTAACAAGCTTAATCTTACGTTGTTTACCTTCTTTAGATAAGCATCGTCTTAGGTTATAGAAAACGATAACTTGGCGTATTGGTCTGAGTCTAACAATTCCTTGAGCATAAGTTGTTGTAAGTCCAATCTCTGTTCTCAGAATTGGCATGGCAAGAGTGTACCTAGTCACTAGAGAGTCTTAGTCAAGTTTCGTGTTGGAAATTGCAGTTACGTGATTAACCAATATGATCTTATATATATAATATCTGTAATGTCAATTTATTACTGCTCATCCTACATTGTGAACAGGGTGGCAACATTTACAAACTTCCAGCTAATGATGTGCTGAGAAGTTATGGGCTTAGTAAAAGCACTGACGCAGCTGAGGATACTATCATAGCCGGCACACTATTGGGAAGTATATTCGTCTTTGCTCCTATTTCAAGGTATGATTTGAATATCTGACTATATACATTCATGTGGCCTTTTTCCACCAAGTAGAAGCTTTATGGTCTTGTGGTATACTTAGTTACCCTTAAGCTTGCCCCAGAAATTCTGTTTGTGCTTATTTTCCATGGGAAGTTGAGTGACTGACCACAAATGTTTTTTTGTAGGGAGGAATATGAGCTCCTAGAAGCCGTCCAAGCAAAGCTTGTGGTACATCCGCTGACTGCTCCTGTTCTTGGTAATGATCACAAGGAGTTCCGAGGTCGAGAGAATCCGGTAAGTGAACCCAAAAAGCAGTTCTAATTTTTCTAAGATTTGAATTAACACTTCGGTGGTTGTATTGGGCGGGTCGACGTGTACATATGTAGAAGTCTAGAAGATACTGCTAAAAACTCTCTTTTTTTTTATCAAAAAACTATCTCTTATCCATTAAGTTTTCACAATGTTGCAGTCCCAAGCGACAAAGATTCTGGACGGTGACATGCTTGCTCAGTTCTTGGAGCTAACGAATAGACAGCAGGAGTCAGTTTTGTCGACACCTCAGCCTTCTCCGCTAAGCACATTAAAAGAAAGTTCAAAACAATGTTCTTCTCCGCCTCTCATGCTACACCAAGTTGTACAATTACTCGAACGTGTCCATCACGCTCTGCACTAGCTCATCCTCTTCTCAGCCCCCTTTCTTCTGCAAGCTTGCATTTCAAAGTATGCCAGTTCCATGAGTAACGGTTTCAGTGATTCCATCTGGTGCGTAACTGACTCCAAACTCTTTTAGTAGTGGTGAATCGTGAATACTTACAAGCTTATGACATTATTTGGTTATAGGATGCAAAGAGTTGGAAAAGTATCCAGTCTTAGGTGCTTCCTTGTGTTCTTGTGGGCAATGAGTCTAATGACTAATCCTTGAGATGTATCTCTCTCTGCTACATTTTATAGATGAACATACTTCCCTATGTACAAAAGTTTGAGATGTGGTTTTCTAATGCATAGGACTCGGTATCATTATGTATATACAGAAAACCCAAATAATATTTTCAGGTTACTTACGTTAAAAATAATAGCATCACAAACTGAATTGATATCTTTCCGTCGTCACTTCATGTCTTCACCCACCTCAAGTTATACTCTGCAAGTTAGCCATGTGTGAATTAATCTATCCTCAAGAAGACGACACTAAGGTTTGAACTGCTGAGTCTAACCTCATCTGAATACAGGAAACTGAGATATTCGATTAAGATCGCTTAGAATAAGTTTACCAATAAACTTATTTTATTATATGGTGATTTCTTAGAGATTGAGATATTCAAAAATTTGGCATATTAAGAACAAAATCTCACGTTTAGAGAGATCATAAAAAAAATATTGATGAATAAATTTCTTAATATATAAGTTGCGCAAAAAAAAAAAAAAGAGAGATCATAACTAATATATATAAGTTATATGATAAAATGAAATTTATTGATGAATAAACGTTTAATTATATAAAACATGAATAATAATAATTTATTATATTTCATATTTTTTTGTAACTTTTAATCGATCCAATTATCCAATAATCAAGCATCCAGATAATTACATATGAAACCCGAACCGTCTGAAATTTTAGCATATTGGAACCATGTCTACTAGTGGACACGACTACCAGCTGCTACCTTAACATAAAGATCATGACCTCCAGCAACATAGTTCCTCATATCCACGAGCTCATCGATCCACATCACACAACCCGACCCACCACTCCCGATATCCATATTCGCAAACCCGGTACAATCACAATCTCTAACACACCTCTCCTTACATTCCTCCAACCCAATCCCCTTATCCACTCTCGCTTCACTTGTCTCCGGCAGCTTCATCTTACTCATCCGCACAAACCCATCTCCTTCCCCACAGCTTAGCCGCGAGCTCCTCACACAACCACCTGTCGCATCTCTCAAAGTCCATGCTTCCGGATTCTTGGGAACAAAGCCTTTGATACAGTTACACTTATTAGGTGTTGTGTTTATGTCACAATAAGCGTAAGAACCACAAACTTGGTACAAATCGCATGCATCTTCCGGGAATGACCAAAACATGTTACGTTGCGGTATTGTCTTAGTCCATGTGATTACTTGTAAGTACCCTGTGGAACTCATTCTAAACCTCGAGTGGATGTTGGAGTTGTTGACGTGGAAAGTGTACGCGACTTCTTCGTTGTTGTTATCTATGAAATTATTAGCAATGTAGCTCCAGTTTTGGAATTTTGGTATACCGTTAAACCGGTTTTGATTCCAAGGACCGGTTCGGTACACTTCGATCTCGTTCTTGAGTAGATAAAACTCATGTAGCCCGTGATTATGAGGTTCAAGTACGAACGTGAAGTCTCCACTTGACGGATCAGTAGGGCTTTTCCAAGATGTGAGGATTCTGTCGTTTCCTGGTTTGATATTCCGACTAAGTTTCATCTCCGGAAGCAAAGTATCCACCGGAAAATCAAAGCTCTGCCACATGAAGTGGTTTAGGTCTTTGGTTTTGGAGTCTCTAAGCACGAAGTTGCCGTTAGCGAGAAGCTCTGCCGTTACTGGTGATGTCACAGATTCTGTAAGGTTCGTTGACCAGACAGGAGTATTAAACTGGTTAAGTAAGACGAGGTTTGCATGAGAGATTTTGAGAGTTCCAATGGAGTTGTGGAGAGGGTTGTCTCTGTTGGCAACCCAAACATATGTTCTCTCGGAGGTTGTCTTGTACCAAATGCCGAGATACCAACGATCAGTACCATTTTGAGAGTTCTTTGTGGTGGTTTTGAAGAAACCAAGCTCGAAGACATTACCTGGAGACACTAGGGTTTTGTTGCTTGAAATTGTAAGAGTTTCGTTAGATGACAAAGTATTGGTCGAGAAGACATGATGAAACTGAAGCAGGACAACGAAAAATAAGGTGTAAGAGTGATGATAGTTTGGTGTTACACCTCTCATCTCTCTCTCTTCAACGCTTTATTTTCTATGCTCTTCTTCTTTTCTCGTTTGTTATTTATAGGAATATTTTGTTGCATGCTGATTTGCAAAGCTATAATGAGGATGGTTTGATTAAAATCTATAGTTTAATGTCTTAATTGTAAATATTATATACTTTCCAGCAGACAATTGAAGATTGTTATTTCCACATTCATTGACTTTCAAGCCATTCATTAATTCATTTTAACAAAGAGCTGTCATTGATCAATAACTTTACCACGTGAAATTGATTTCTCATGCAAATGCAACGAAACATAACATGTGTATTTTGGACCAAATGACATAACATATCATATGTTGTTTCCTTCAGCTTAACTTAAACTGCAACGTCCAACGAAATAATACTAAATGGAAATAGAAAAATTATATCATTGAAAAATTATTATCATGAAAGTTTTTGTGTAGTTGAGTTTGTATTAGAGTGGATCCACATTTACCTTATAAAATAGAACTTCTATAAATTAATACTCGATAAATTAATAATTTCTATAAATTAATAAATTCCATAAGTTTCAATTTGGACCGGTTCAAAATTTAACATAAAAAGATAAATAATAAGATAATAATTTTTTTAGAAAATTTTATGTAAATATATGATCCCATTAAAACTATAAATTAATAATTTATATGTATACATATTTTATATAAGTAATAACCTATCATTATGTTCTTTCTTTTATACTTACAGTGGAATTATCTATATATTTTCTTAACACTTAATATATTTTGATGAGATTTAGTAATTTTATATTTAAATCACATTTAAATTTTATGTAATATATTATATACATAAAATATTAATATAAATGTCAATTTTTTAAAAAGAAATAATAATTAATGTCTATACACCAAAATCAAATATTTTGTTATTTTAGAATAAATATATCTTAAAATAAAATCTAAATAAGGAAACTTTTGTAAATTAATATCTCTATAAATTAATAAAATTTCAAAGTTTTAACATTATTAATTTATAGAAGTTTTACTGCATATTCTTATTTTAGGTAGCGAAATCAACTTTGCCAAAAAATAATATTTTTATATTTTAATATGGGGTAGTGAAACCTATCAAATAGTGGTCTGGTGGCAGCCAAATTTTGGGTTGCTAAGACCAACATTATCGCACGTCCTTAAGAACATTTCTTAGGTATTAATCGCACAAAAATAAATGAAAATGGGCAAAAAAAAACAAATGACAGACCTTAACTCAGGACTTTCTGAGTCGTCCTTATGGAACACGTGTCGTCGTGCGTATGGGCCGAGAGCATCTGCTAGGGTAATGTCAAAACGCAACCGTATTGAGCTTCATTTCGCGGACCAGAGCAATTTCTCTCTGTCGAGTGCGATTTTCTATTCTCTCTCGTCTCCGATTCCTTGTATAATCTGTTCTCTCTCGATCTGTTATCTCTCGCTCCGATTCCGACTACAAAGCTTTCACTGTCCTCTAATCGATCTGTTATCTCTCTCGTCTCCTCTAATCGATCTGTTAAAGAAGGTTTGTGTTCCTCCTTTCTCTTGCATGTCGTTTGTTGTCGCTGTCCTCTCTGTAAAACTGATATCTGCAGTCTTTCGCGATCTAATAATACATCGAAACTCTGATTTGGTTCTGATTTAATTGTCTTTTGTCGATCTAACACATCAAAACTCTGATTTTGTTCTGATTAGGTCTGCGAACTATGATTTGCTCTCTGTAAAACTGAAAACTGATTTGGTCTGCAAACTCTGACTTTGCGTATTGATTGGTGTTGCTATTGATTGATAATGCATCTGAGAGTTCATAAGTGATAGGTTTATAGTTGCTTGCTTGCTTGCTTGTACATTTGTCCTTTTAAAAAAAGTTGCTTGCGCGCTTTATTGTTGTGTAATAATAGCTTCTGCAACAATAAGGCAATGAACTTTTTCTTTTTAAAAAAATGTTTGGTCTTTGTATGAAACGGATTGCAATTAAATTGAAATAGCTTGTAAGTGATAGGTTTATAGTTGCTTGCTTGTAACTTTTAGCTTTGGTAGTTGTAGTGTAGTAATGACTAGAGCTAATAGGTTCATACTTAGATTTAATGATCCAACACACCCTAGAGCTGATAGCTTTGTAGTAGTAGTTTAGTAATAACTCATGTTAGATTATGACTTTGGTTATGTCTCTATGCTTGTAACTTATTACCTCTTACATTCGTTTATTGTTTGTAGATGGCGATTCCGCATGAACCTCATTTTTTAAAGCCTCTGCTTCCTGGTTTCCACAGTGGCTTTGTAGACACACTCTCTCTATTTTTCAGCTGTATATGTTTCTAATTTTTAGTTGTGTTTAATTTTTCCTTTTCTGACTTGTAGAACATACCATTTACCTTCTTCTCAAAGCACATAGAAGGGAAGACGAATCAGACACCATCAAAACTAAGATCGGACGCTTCAGATAAGACTTGGGAAGTGATACAAGAAGGCAGGAGACTCACCAGAGGTTGGAAAAAATTCGCCAAAGCACATAACATTGTCATCTTCAAAAAGGAAGGAGACATGGTGTTTCATGTAACTCCTTTTAGTCCTAGCTGTTGTGAGATTAAGTATACACCTCCTCATATGATCAAGGAAGAACCCGACGCGGATGATGCTGCAGGTGTGATTAGTAAGTTTCAATAAAAACTCACCGTCTTCTTTTGACGTGGAAATTTTTTTCTTATGTTTCAGGAGGAACAGGAGCAATGTATTCTTTCTCATTCGAGTAATGTTTTTTGGCTGAGGTCACTGCTTCAAATCTATAAGAAGACAAACTTGTAAGTAGTTAGGCGTTTTGTGTCTCTATTTCAAATCTAAAAGAAGAATAACTTTTGATTTGTTATGTGTTTACAGCATCTTCCTGTGGCAGCTACACGTTCTACTATTTTGAACAAACAATGCCAAGAGGTGATACTAGTGAACAAGGAGGGAAACTCATGGACTGCGAATTTGCTATTTAGCGAATCATGCGGCCTGTATTACATCAGAGGAGGGTGGACGAAGTTCTGTCGTGATAACAGATGTGACATATGAGACTTATTTGTGTTCAATGTGGTTCGAGATGGAAAAACTGCTCCATTGATGTGTGTATGTCCGGAAAGCAAAGAGTGTTCTGAAATACTGAGGGAACATTTGAGCATAAAGAGTGGTGAGTTGTGTCACGGGTAGTTTGGTGGTTGTTTGTTTGCATGTTGGTTGTGTGTTGTCCCTTTATTCTTCTTCTAATGCTTTGTTATTTCTTATGGCTTCTATTGTAATGACTTGTAATGACTTAGCTTGTATTATAATGAACATTTTCATTATGTTATTTCCCTCTTCTTCTAATGCTATTATGATCTCTTCTTCAGTTGAAAACAGCAGAACACAAACGAGCCATTGACTGCATTAGCGTGTGTGTTGATTATGTTTGTCATCTCTCTTTGTCAATATGAAAATGAAAATTATTTTATGTATCATAGCAAGTGTATCAAAATAAATAATTTATGTAGCTAAGGACAAATTAAAATCCCACCAATAATCACCACATGTAACAAAGTCCCATAATAATGTCCTAACCATAAAAATATTAATAAAATTTTTTAAGGACTCAACTTAAAGTCCTTGCAATAATGTTGCTCTAAGCAATCAAAAACATCCCACTAAACTTTATTTGTGTGGACAAACGGATAAAGTCTTATTGTTTACTATATTTGAATATTCAGAGAAACAGTTGAGACATTTCATAGGTTCGAAATACCCCCATGTTAATTTAAAAGAAAAAAAATGAATAGTGAAATTGTATAGTGACAATAGGGTTAATTTAAAAGAAAAAATAATGAGTAGTGAAATTGTATAATGACAATAGGGAGAACTAAAATTAACAACAACTTAAGTAATAAAATGTTCTAAGGATGTGACAATTTCACAAAACACTCACTACAAAAAAAGTCTACATTGATAGCACATTGTTGTTACACGTTTTACTGAATTGCTATCGTAGTTGACTTATAAATTTTCGTATTATATAATAGCATTAGATAAACGCTATGATAGAGAAAAATTTAAAATAGCACTTAATTAATGCTATTTTGAAAATTACGTGAGCGGGAAAATAAAATCACCAGTTTCGCCAATACTTAGCGGAAATTTAGATTTAAGCGCCAAAAAAATTATTTAAGCGGCTTAGTAAAAATATGAAAGACTTATAATAGCATTTTTATAATGCTAAGAAAAGCTATTTGAACCCCTAAACCTTAAACATGGTTTTAAACCCTAAACTCTAAACACAACTCTTAAACTCTACTCATTTCACATTATAACTTCAAATCTTAAAATAAAACTTAAAATTTAATATTTTTAATCTTAAACTATAATTTCCTAAATACATATCCTTAATCTTTAATCAATCTCTATATCGTAAATCATAATTTCAAACATAAACTATACATTTTGTGTAAACATACAAATTTTTCAAAATGATGACCAAAATGATAATCTTGATATTAATCTAATATTTCCAAACTTAAACATCAATTTATTATGTTTCAAAATAAAATTTTAAACTTAAATTACAAAGTAAAAAATATAAACTTTGAAGTAAGATATAATTAAGAAAATATATTTACAAAACAAATTATCAAAGATTGAAGGACAAAAAAAATTATAAAGAATATCTTCTTGCTACGATTTAGCTACGAAATCTTTTTAACTCTTTATAAAATAGCCACAAAATGCCATGGTTTACCACATTTTTTGTACATGCTTGAAACCCTAAACCCTAAAATGCTTTTAAACCCCAACCCCTTAATATAAACCTTGAAACTATATTCTTTTTCATAATTTAACTTAAATCTTAAATTTAAATTCATAATTTAGTTTTAAATCATTATTTAAACCCCAAATACTATATACCAAACCCTAAACTATAATCTTAAACCCTATACCTTAAATCATAAATCTAAACATAAAATCTTATTTTAAAATTTAAA